GGAGACTAAACCCGGGTTGGCTGTGCGCAAGGCAGACACCCTGACTGCTGTACTATCTCTCTGGCAGCTTAGCACGTTTTTAGTCCTATCTGTGTCCTAGCACATACCAGTATTTCAGTTCTTTTTTTATTACTGGATACTTCATCGTAAGGCTATTTTATAAAATAAACAGTCATTTTGTTTATTCCTTCATCAGTTGATGGACATTAGGGTTACTTCCAATTTTTGGATCTTGCAGATATATTGTTGTGAACATGAACGTACATTTTGGGGATGGGTGGGAGAGGTGGTGACACCAGGATTGAGCCTGGATCAGTGGCATGCAAGAAAAGGGCACCAAAAATATGATATGACTCTACTTGAGTCAACTTCAGAGCAATATAAGTAAAATGGCAGGTTTCCAAAGGCTGTGGGGAAGGAAAAAATGTTTTTAACTGGTTTTAAAAATTATAAAATGACAGCCTTTTAAAGGTAAACAATAAAGGCCTCAGAAAAGATTGCAAATGCTTATACTATATATATATATACATATATATGTGTATATATATAATCTATAAACCAGTCTAAAAAATTACCCTTTTTTCCCCCCCCCAAAGAGGACTTAAATACAGGGATGTGTGCCAACACAGAATCATATTGTGGATCAGTAATAGAGAGGGAAATCCTAAGTTGTTCATCTCCCGAGATTCCTGCAGAATTTAACGAAGACTTTAACAGTAAGAGGAATAAGGAAGAGATAGTAAGTCAAGATAAAGGAGCCAACTTAGAAAAAGAAAATAGCTGGAATAATAACCAGTATCACCAAGTCACAAGAACGGAGAAACAAATAAAACATATGAAGAAATGTCCTAAAAGACCTGACTGGAACATAAATAAACCACTCAAAAGGTACATTCCAGCATCCGAAAAGTACCCTAAACAGCTTCAAAAGCAAAGAGAAGAAAAGAAAGTAAGAAGGCAGATGGAACTGCTTCATTTGTTAGAAAGAAATTATCCAGGGCACCTCTCTCAAAATAGAGACATCTCACCGGTAATTCTCCATTCACCTCATCAAGAAACTGAGTTCAGGTGGCAACTAGTCAAAAAGGTAAAAAGGTCACGTTTTAAAATTACTTTCAGGGGTGGGGAGAGAGCTTAGAGGGTTTTTAAGCACATGCATATTGGGAATCCCAAAATTTGATACGTCCGCAGCACCCAAGCACACAAAAAGAATACCTTGAACACCATTATGTGTCATCTCAAAATCAAAATAAAAAGGTAAGGTAAAGGCCCTCCCGGTGATCGTCGATTTGCTCGAGCGGGCCCAGTAACGTCTCCATTGGAGACTTTGTTGTTACTGTGTCTGGCATATCGAATACTCTCGGTAGCTTGCCGGGCTCTCCGAGAGGGGCGGAGGAATCGAACTCGGGTCGGCCATGTTGGCCGCATGTAAGGCGAACGCCCTACCCGCTGTGCTATCGCTCCAGCCCTTGGTAGCACAAAAAAAATTGCTCATCTAAGACATGTATGACAAGGCATTCCAGAGGGCTGGAGAGACCATCTCAGTTGGTCTGCATGATGAGATGCTTATGGGAGGCTCAGCTTAATCGTTTGTATGATTCTCAGAACACCAGGAGCGACCCCCCAAGCTCTGGGTCAGGATTCATACCCAAGCATCACTGATTATAACCAAAAATATAAAAATAAATGTAAACCATAAAACCTGATATTGGGGGCCACTCAGCAGTGCTCAGGGATCATTCCTGGTGGGGCTCAGAGGACCCCATGTGGTGCGAGAGTTTGAAACTGGGGTAGCCACATGCAAGACAAGTGAATATTTTCTCTCTGGCACCAAAAGTAAAAATGTTCAATGAGTTCTAGAACTTGCTTTAGTTTAGGTTAGAAAACTATGGTCCTTGGGAAAATCGATCTGCTGCCTACTTTTGTAAATACTACTTTTATGTATTGCCTGGAAATAGCTTTGCACAAAAGCATACAGTTTAAGTGTATTCGCAACAGAAATCAATTTCTGTGACCCCAAATCAACCCAAAACTGTTATCATCTAATCTGGTCCCATATAGAAAAAGATGTGTGTTGTCAGACTTCAGTGATAGCACCAGTTTATAAAAGACTAATCTATAAAAATTAGAAATTAGTATTTCCAGATTCAGTGAGTGTCTGACAGTATGCTTCATTTAAATATATATTATTTTAGTGGTTGGTGGAAGAGTTGAGGCTATACTCATCAGTTTTAGGGGGACTGTACCTCTGTTCTGGTGGTGCTGGGGATGGGGGGACATGGGGTGGGGGAGAACCATGTAGTCCCAGGAATCAACAGTTTGGCTGCGTACAAGGCAAGCAGCTTATGTCTTATACTCCTGAATATCTTTAGATTAACAAATAAGCACTGGAAGTACTTATAGGGCATGTGGAAATATGGTAACTTTTTGCATTTTTCCCATCTTTTAGGAAGAGTCTCTGAAAAGTAATTCCATCAGCAAAGAAAGGTATGTTACATATCCCTATTCTACAGTTCCTTATTGCTCAAAATGCAGGTAAGATCAAGCATAAACAGTATCAGAAACATGTGTGACTGACTCCACCTGATGGTAAGGATGGTTGATATTTTGAAAGTTTAAAGGCCCAAGTGGGTTTAACATACAGGGAATGTGAATCATACTATTTCTCTCTTTTTTTTTTCCCGTACTATTTCTCCAGCAATCTTAATTTAACCTGAGGGTGAAACAGACTTATTTGGGCATAAACCAGTTTTAATGTGGCCATACTAATATAATAGCATACTCAAATGGCAATAACATTTTGTAGAATAGTTCATGAGAGACAGATTGATCCCAGTTTTTCTCCTTTCTATGCACACACATCCTCATCACTATCACTGGGGAAAAAAAAACCCTGGGACCTGTGAGATGGTACTGCAGGTAAAGGTGCTTGCCTTGCACATGGCAGACCTAAGTTTGAATCCCTGGCATCACACACAGTCTCCAGGCACCGCCAGGAGTGGTCCCTAAGCACAGGACACTGGATATGGCTCCCAAACAAGCAAGAAATTAGATTTTATTAAATAACTCAAGCTTCTCTTATGTTCTAAAATGTGAACAAAGAGCAGATATTTAAAATAAGCAATATTATATAAAAGCATAACCCCTAATTGTGCTTTTCTTAAAAAATATAGGTCTCAGTCACCACCAGTTCCAGCTGTGAAAAATAAAACACAACAAACTCAAACACTGACAACTAATTATGAAAGAGAAAATGTGATTTCAGGAGGCAGTCAAACAGAATTGTCACCTGGGATTTCTGAACTACCTCATTTTATTCCTTATGTCAGAACCAATGAGATTTATTACCTTGATCCAGATGAACCATTGTCTAGGCCTTCATCCCAGGAGCCCCAGCACCAAAATCCACATGGTAAGTATGTACAAGTATCCCCTCTCATCAACTCTAAATTCAAACTTCAAGTTACTATTCTTACATTAATTCCAAGACATGTAAAGAATTTCTTTGAATTTCCTGTGATAATTTCTTCGGCTATAATTTATTTAGTGAATCCTTTGATTTCTACAGCATAGGATTATGTTATGATAGTAGATATTTTTCTGACTTAGTCATTTTCATTTACTCTGACCAAGAAGAACAGCCATTTGACCATATCCGGGACCCACTTCTTAATCCCAACTTGGTGAAAAACAGGGATCGACAGCAAGCAATCCTTAAGGGACTCTCAGAACTGAGACAGGTATGACCTTTTTATACCAACCATGACAGTTTTCTGTATTATGGAGGGCTTTTATTAAAGTATCGGACATGATTTGTGACGCTTTTAGTATGAAAATCATGAGACAGTTAAAATATTAGCATTGTTTTATTGAAAGAAAAATGCTTACATTTGAATGGCAAAAACATGATCCCTAAAACCACAATAAGGAAACACAATTATGCAATGCAGTTTGTATGCTTTTCTAAAAGCAAATATGATGGCAGTGTTTGAAACAATCTACATAACCTAACAGGTAAGAATTGATTTTGCAGTTTTGCTTCATTCTGTCTGGGAAAACTAACTGCCATTTTAGGACAGCCTTTTTCCATGTGTTATTTACCAATTAACCTTTTTTAAAAAACAGTATTGGTTATTGGACCAGGGCCTCCTGCATGCAAGGCAAGAACTTTACCACTAAACAGCATCTCTGGTTTTCCCACCAACCCGCAAAACTCAAATTCTTTGTTATAGACCCAGAAAAATAAGCCCACTAACACATGACAAAAAAGTTACTTCTAGCTTAATGAAGACAAATGTTAGGTCAAAATGAAGTTCTTGACCTCTGGCCACTTATGTCAGGACCTGACATTAATTCAGTAAGGTTGGCTGGTGCAGTGAGGGAAAACAATAGGTATTTTAAGAGCATCTGGTGAGCAGGAGAATTTTGAATCCATAATTATGGAGACTTGCTTTTAAGAAATAAATATATAATAGCTACACAGTGCCCACACGACAAGATAAAGCTTACACTAGGACCTATTAGGTTATTAATGCTTAAGAAAAATACATAATTCTGGACTAAAGATAGAATGTAAAACAAGGATAATTTCAAGTTTGTGTATTCCTTATTTAATATGTCATTTCAGGGCCTTCTCCAGAAGCAAAGGGAGCTGGAAACTAATCTCATACCCTTGACTGCAAGTCAAGAAGAGAATTTTAGTTCTTCATTCTGAATATGGACAACTAAATCTTTGATGTCTTCGTGTGTCTTTAAAATTGTAAAATTTATGTGCTTGTTGCTTAACTTTATTTTTCAAATGCTTAATTTAAAATGATTATGTAGTAAAATGTTGTATTATCTTTTTATATACACACAATAAAACACTTTTGTAAAAATCTTGTAAAAAAGTTTTTTTTACTCAGGTAGTAAGTCCTATAAAAACTTGCTACTTACCTTACAATATTATTCCTGTGAACATTATTAATTCAAATACCACTTAATAGACTCTGTTCTATAAAAAAGGTTTTGCTTTTTATTATAAAACAATTTAGAAGTCCAGTTTAACATCCTACTTTTACTAAAATAATCCAGATTCAATTTAGATGAAGAATTTTCTATTTTCTAAATCCTGTTTTACTCACTTTTCGGGAACAAATTTACATCTACATAGAGAGGCAGTTATCTTCATCATACACTTAATATAGAACTTTGGCACTTAAGCGTACCCTAAAAGTCACTCTCATTTTCTAAGGCTTCTTACCAATTAAAAAATGTACAGCAAAGTTGTTCCAATCCGACTTTTTAAAACATGAAATTGAATTTTGTGGGGGCTGGAGTGATAGTACAGTGGGTAGGGCGTTTGCCTTGCATGCGGCTGACCCGGGTTCGAGTCCCAGCAACCCATATGGTTCCCCCAGCACCGCCAGGAGTAATTCCTGAGTGCAAAAGCCAGGAGTAACTCCTGTGCATCGCCGGGTGTGACCCAAAAACAAGAAACAAAAAAAGAAATTGAATTTTGTTAAGAACCACAAAAGTACTGAAAATCAAAATTATCAAAAACGCACCCAAAAAACTGACTAAATTTTTAGCAATAGGCAGTTTTTACATGGTTAAGCCTAATAAAAAATAATGCTGCTTGGTATTAAGTTTTATGTACATAGTTTATCATCTAACTTGCATTGTTAGCTAAATTGTAGGTACTAAGCAAAATTTCTGTAAATATTAACATCACTGGCTTATACATGTATAAAAAAACACCATACAAAAGCGTAAAACAAAATAAACACAATAGTTTGATACATCATTTTAGCAAAAGTACTTTATCACCTGACAGGAATAAAAAGTAAAGCCACTGCTCTTTACCATCTAGTTTTATGTATAATTAGGCTTCAGTTTGAAGCCACAGTACAGGTGACAGACATATAAATAAATGTAACATTTAAAAGTGCCAACATGAGATAATTCAAGTACAATATATATATGTTAAAAATATATATATATTTATTTCAATTTTCAGAAGTGTCAACTGTTACAGGCCATCATGATTTAAATAAGGGTGAGGAGGGAAATGAGGAAGGACAAGAAACCTTCTGTCCACACTGAATATAAACTGTTAATTCACTTTCAGGAAGTAAAGTCTGTAACATTTAAAAAATTACTATAATTATCTCACTTTTGAAATTGGCCTGAAGAATCACTTTTTCCCCCAACTTAATGGAGATGGAGATTTCTCTCTATCCGAGCTTCGAGTATAAGAAGATAAAAAGTTATTCTGACTTTCTTGAGACTGACTTGATGAAAGGGCATATGATGTCCCCAAAAATGTCTGATGGGTGAGAACATTTAAATGACTAAATTGATGGGACATGTTTAATTGACTGTAATAAACCTGGAAGTTGCTGAATGAATCTTGTTCAGCTGAATTGCTGTTTTCTCCTCCAGAGCATACTATATCAGTAGAAGCTCTTTCTTCAGAATCGATTTGATAAGTCGTATCTTCTAATAAACTTTTTTGCACGTCAAGAGATGAGTGCAACTCAATTTCAATATTCTCTTTTTGATCTGTTCCACTTGATCCTTTGGTCTCTTTCGCCAATATTTCTGAATGAACATTGCTGCATACTTCTATCTGTGAGATTTCATCCCCTGAATCCAGAGACATATCCTCTTCATCCTTTTGATCATCGTTTTCTAAAAGAGCTACATTTAAAACACAAAAAGTCCTCCTCTATTGAAATACACAATTTGTTTAAGTTTTAAAATTATACACTACTCACACAATATAATGCGTCAGGGTCTGCAAGTCCACAATCCCTTAAAGCTTGGTCTTCTGCCACAAGTTCACTTAGTCACAACACTCACACTAGGTGTGAATGTCCGGATAATCCGATGCTAAAAGCTTCTGCGAAATGTGTTCACGTTTAATGTTGGGAAATCCCAACTCCCAGCTCCAAAGGGGTTAATGTCAAAACAGCATCTAAAGTTATACGGTAATTCAGTATTTGACAAGACAAAAATAAAATAAAAATTTTGACATCTAGCTTCACTAAACTAAGAAATGTTCGATCATCTCTGCTTTTCATCAAAGACCAAAGTACATCTTTCATTTTACATAGAACCTGGAACCAAAGCAGCAGAGGCCATCTCATAAAAGATTAAGGCTCTAGACAGCCATACTACTTCTAATTAAATTGTTGTAGATATTTGGAGAATTTAGAGCCCAAAAGCTAAATCTTATGTGCTATTCTTAAGACTATTAACCCCATTTGCTGACAGTAGTAGTCAACATAGCTTTATGCAGACTCAAAAAGAAGATAACCTCTATAGTATGTAGTCTACCATAACTCTTGTATTCATAGTTTATTAAGTGAGCAGATTATGTGCATGTTAGGAATAGACAACATTTCCCCTGGGAGGTTTACACTGAATCAGTGGTTTCAAAATAGGTATTTTACTCTCAGATAACAGAAAAACCATTTCTCTTTTTCTGCCTGCCTTAAAATGAAAATGATTGAAATTACCTGACTGTGGCTCAAGATTCTCATTAACACCAGGCACTGGCACGGTTTCTTCTGTGAGTAGGTTGTGATACCCGACGAGATTTTTAAAGTTTTGCATCAAGTCTTCTGCAGTTGCAACCACTATTCCATTATCTGTATAACTGGAAAGCATCTTAACATTCTTTTCTAAATTAAAAAAATAAAAAGAGTATAAAGTACTTGGAAATATACATGGACAAATGACATTACCTGTCCCTAGCTCTCAAAACTTCTTTCCTCCATAATTTTAACAATAGCAAAATACCACTCACGAGCCTGGAAAACTCATTTTATCTGTATTCTAAGTAAAAAAGTCTTAAAGGGTATTCTTTACCTGTTAAAAAGACAATGTGCCGTTGCTGGATGTTCTGAGCCTGAAGTCTGATAAGACAGTCTAATTCTGGAGCGTTTCGAGTTTGTGAATCACAATTGTGGTATGATAAAATTTCAACCAAATGTTTCTTCTGATAGATATTCAGAAGAGTCAACAGACTTAAAGCTTTAGCATTCAATCTATGAAATAAAGTAGGTTAGTATGTAAGTACATTTACGGTTAAAATTTATTTCTCAATTGAGACAACTAATGACTTAGTTAGTTCACCCCCTGACATGTTAAGTGCTGCTCACACAAAAGTGTGAAATGTACGGCAAACAACTCAGGGACTTCCTCTTGGGAGCAGACTATTCAGTTTACATTGATATCTCAATCATTTTACTTTAATAACAAAATATAATTCTTACTTTAGTAATTTAAAACTAGTAAAAAATGGAAAAGGTCAAAAGAAATCGAAACCCTTCCTTTAAAAAATAAGCTCTTGGGGCTGCAGAGAGAGAGGACAGCAGGTAGGGGGCTAGCCTTGCACAAGGATAAACTGGGTTCAATCTCTAGTATCCCAGACGGTCCATAAGCACTGAGCACTGCAGGGTGTGGCCCCTCCAATTATTATTATTATTATTTTTAAAGTTCTCTTAAGTTATTTCCTTCCATGCCCAGAGGCACAAAACAAGAAACAGATTGCTGACGGGATACTATCAGGCAGATGGAGAGAATTTTGTATATTTTACACCTTTGAAACTATTACCTGTTCAATAAAGATAAGACCTTAAAGAATTACTTACTATAAGAAGTTTTTTTAATTAAAATTTTGAAATTGAAAAATATTAAATGTAAACCTGAATTTCTCAAAATGTGTACCATGGAATGTAAATAGGTGCTACAAGAAAAAATGTCTTGCATTTACAAGATATTATAAGAACAAAATTCCTGATCAGAAGAGTTTGGGATACTTTATGGAATCTCTCAAGTGACTGACTAGTACTCTACAGAGAGAAAAGGCTTTTAAATGTGACAAAACAATGTAAATGGGTGTCTCAATCACAAATTCCCTTACCCTGAGTAGATAAATATTTGTCTCAATATGTGAGAAAACCAATTTTACCTATATATAAAACTAGAACATCAGTAAAAATCTACCTTCCTAAAAAGAATGCCACTTCCAAACAGGCTAGAATGATCCACTATATACATTCCATTATGGCTGGCTAAGGACATCTGTGAAACTGAGCAGTATCTATAATCTAAAAACAACAACAAAAAAAAAAAAGGAAGAAATTTTGTGACTTGATTTTAACAATTAGAGACGAATAATACAGTGGATAGGGTACTTGCTTTACACATGGCCATCCCAGGTTATTCAAATCCCTGGCATCCCTTATGTTCCCTGAGCCCCACCAGGCGTGATCCCCAAGCTCAAAGCCAGGAGTAACCTTGAGCATAGGAAGGTGTGGACCCCTAAAAACTCAAAACAATAAAATAAGTGATCATTATTTTTTTCAAATCTTACCTGCCTAGTTCCTTTAGTTTTTTCTGAAATTTACAATGGATTTTCCACTGCCATTTTCCTTCTGGAGTACTAAGTTCTTCAAGGAATATTAAAAATTTTTTAAGGCTCTCTGTTAAAAACAATATTTTAATTCAATAAGTAACAGTCACTATATGGCTGAACTATATGTGTTCAAAGAACAAGTGCTTACTGTTTAAGATGTAAAGACACCTATTTTCCTATGCATTACTTTTTCTCTTCTGATGGAGACAGGGGCTTAATTTTTGTTTTCTTTAGCTATAGCCAGCAATGTTTAGGGGGTCTTCCTGGTAGGTGCTTGATGGACATGTGATACCCAGGACTGAACATGGAACTCCCACGTGCAAAACGTGCTCCTATCCTTTGAGCTCTTTTCCATGCCCCCCTACATATTTTTTTCAGATTTAACAAGATAACACCCACACATAAATAATATACAATAACAAACCAGAAGTAATCCGATTTGAGTATAGAAAGTACAGATAGCCATGTTTTATACCATATTTTTAAAAGATATTATTTAAAAAGACTAAAATAGGGGCTAGAGAGATAGCACAGCGGGTAGGGCGTTTGCCTTACACGCAGCCAATATGACCAACACAGGTTCGATTCCCAGCATCCCATATGGTCTCCCGAGCACCGCCAGGAGCAATTCCTGAGTGCATGAGCCAGGAGTAACCCCTGAGCAACGCCGGGTGTGACCTCCCCCCCAAAAAAAGAAAAAAAAAAAGACTAAAATAATGGGAAATAAATTTTAGGTAATAAAAGATCAAGAAAATAACAGAAATTACTAGTTATCTGTGATTAACAAGCATGAGTGAGAGATTAAGAAAACTAGAAAAGGGATGGGGGTGGGAGGGATATTATCCATGGTGGTGGAAAATGGGCACTGGTGGAGGGATGGGTATCTGATCATTGTATAATTGAAACCAAAGCACAAAAAATTGTAAATCTACAACTTTAAAAAAAAATAAAATAAAATAAAGGGAAAAAAAAAAAAGAAAACTAGAAAAAGAAAAAGAATATATACATCTTACCAATTGTGATAACTTCTGGATTTAGGATGGTTTCATCAGACACAATAAAGCCTCCAGATACAAACAATTCATTGTATGTGTGGTTCTTAACATCATCCAGACTATCAACACCAGCAAAACTAACACAGGAGAGTTTCTTTAAAGTCACCAATCCAGGTACCTATTTAAATACCACAACAAAAACAGAATTAAGAACAGATAATGTAATGATTTAATGTGAAGCTATCAAAAAAAAAATCTAGCAAAACCCTCTAGGCATTGACAAGATAGCTCAAAGAGGTCACTAAGCACATGTGTATAAATAGGAGTCCTGGGTTGCATGGTCCCAAACACCGCTATAGTGGTCCCTAAGGTGTAGCTGCCACGTACTGCCAGATGTGCCCTCCCCCCCCAAAAAAAAAGGAAAAGTGAAAAGAAAAATGCACTCTGGCTCTCTTGGTCTGAAGCCTATAGAAAACCAAGCACAAAAAAATACCATTTCAGGGGCTGGAGCGATAGCATAGCGGGTAGGGCGTTTGCCTTGCACGCAGCCAACATGGCCGATACAGGTTCGATTCCCAGCATCCCGCATGGTCCCCCAAGCACAGCCAGGAGTGATTCCTGAGTGCATGAGCCAGGAGTAACCCCTGAGCATCGCCGGGTGTGACCCAAAAAGCAAAAGAAAAAAAAAAACAAAAAAAAACAACAACCAAAAAAAACATTTCAGATCAGAGCATGCACCTATTAATGAGGCCAGAAAGATTTCTATGGTTAAGGTGACTTGAGAAACTCATACATAGGAAATGGGTACCTCTATTACTCAAAGGAAAGGGGGCATTTTTGGGAAAAAAAAAAATAGAAGCATTAAGTTCTAGCAAAGACATACAAATACAGTGAGAACAATATAATCAGCAGATCCACTCGCATTCAAGGAATTAGAAGAAGACTTGGTAGTTCTACTAGACGAATAGGAAGGGTCTGTGATGTGAAGCAATTTAAAATTTTGCAGAGGTACAAGCAATCTTGTACAATCTTGCATCAGTTCAAGCAAGCTGAATCAAGGAATGATCATTTAGGTCTGAAATCCTAAAAATGTCCCAACCTTGAAGCTTTCATCTCCTTTAAAACATTATAATATTATAAAAATAAATTGCTCTAATCTAAAAGACAGTACCGTTCTTAAAAGTTTTTATAATCAAGTATGTAGTGGTTTTGACTTAGTAATCTACCTTGTGAATGAAACCTGCAATGTCTTCATTTTGAATAATAATCAATAGTTTATCTAATTTTGATCTTCTTTCCAAAAATAGTTCTGGATGACATTCTGTATTGCCTAATTTTATAAGATATTCCTGTTAAAGAAAAAAAAAATCTAAATCAACATTAAAAAACATTTTTGCAAATATCCATTTAACATCAGAAATATAAAGCTAACCAGATACAGCCAACTACTAGAAAATTATTAATGATATCCTATACTCTAGGAACCACAAAAAGCATTAAAATCTAGTCTTTCAGAATAAAAAAACTTAAATGGTTAGTCATAATGTGACAATGTTATGCAATTAAAATAGCAAAAATCAAAGGGCTAACAGAGAAAATCATCAAGGACAAAGGATTATTTATATTTACAATGAAATGCTACTCAACTATAAAATAAAACAAACTCATGCAATCTGCTGCTACATGGATGGATCTGGAGAGTACCATGCTGAGTGAAGTTAGCCAGAAGGAGAGGATAGACATAAAATAATCCTTCTCCTATGTGGGATATAAAGAAACAAAGTTAAGGGAATAACAAATGGCCAAAAGGAACAGAGCCTGAGAAGTGGTGTACACAACTAAGCTTACCATGGTGGGGGTCTGGGAGCAGGTTGAGGGAGGAGAAAACTCTGATGGAGGTGTGGTGTTGGAATATTGTATGAACATCTTATCATTAACAGTATTAAAAATCAGTGACAAAAAAATAAGCCAATGGATTAACCCCTCAATCAAATTAAATTACTTATTATGGGTGGCAAAAGCCCCACTTTTTTTGTGTGTGTTTTTTTTAATTAGTGAAACACCATGAGGTACAGTTGTAGACTTACAAAGTTTTGTGCTTGGATTTCAAGTATATAATGATCGAGTACCTGTCCCTCCCCCAGTGCCCATTCTCCATCACCAATGATCCCAGTAGCCTTCCCATCCCCCACCCATCCTCCCACCCCTCCCCACCTTTGTGGCAGGGCATTCCCTTTTGCTCTCTCTTTCCTTTAGGGTGTTGTGGTTTGCAATAGAGGTATTGAGTGGCCATCGTGTTCGGGCTATAGTCTACTTTCAGCACACATCTCGCATCCTGAGTGAACCCTCCAAATGTCCTTTACTTGGTGTTTCCTTCTCTGAGCTGCCTTTTCCCCCAGCATGTGCTGCCGGCTTCCAAGCCCTAGAGCAGGCCTCCTGGTACTTATCTCAACTATTCTTGGATGTTCGTCTCCCTTTCTCACTTAATATTCCCCAGATGAGTCTTTCTATGTCTGTCCCTCTCTTTCTGGCTCATTTCACGTCACATGATACTTTCCATGTAGAACCACTTGTATGTAAATTTCATGACTTCATCTTTTCTAACAGCTGCATGGTATTTCATTGTGTAGATGTACCAAAGTTTTTTTAACCAGTCATCTGTTCTCGGGCACTCCGATTGTTTCCAAAGTTTGGCTATTGTGAACAGTGCAGCAATGAACATACAAGGGCAGATGTCATTTCGACTGTACTTTTTTTGCCTCTCTGGGATATATTCCCAGGAGTGGTATTGCTGGGTCAAATGGGAGCTAAAAGCCCCAAGTTTTAACATTCCATCACTCCCATTTTTCTTTCCAGGTATGCCACTCGCTATTACAGCAATATTAGTAGTAGATTCCTTCCAAGTTTAAAGCACTTTTCATATCACTACAGCTCATCTAACTTGTAACAGTCACCAAATCATTCACAGAGAGCTTCAGCATGTAAAATTATATTTACAAACTAATAAGCTATGCAACATTACAATTTACATTAAGAAAAACTGACTTTCGGGGCTGAGGTGATAGCACAGCGGGTAGGGTGTTTGCCTTGCACGTGGCCAACCCAGGTTCGATTCCCAGCATTCCATATGGTCCCCTGAGCACCATCAGGAGTAATTCCTGAGTGAAGAGCCAGGAGTAACCCCTGTGCATTGCCGGATATGTCTCAAAAAAAGCAAAAAAAAAAAAAAAAAAAAAAAAACCCCAAAAAAACTGACTTTCATTCAATCACTCCCTCCATACTGGTAAGGTAGTACCTTTGGAAGGACACAAGTTAGTCCAGGCAAAGTTTCCTTCAATTTTAGTCTGTTGGTAGAATCTAAAGAAGACTACAGGATCCTGGTTATTGTAATCCTCATTCCATGACAGAAACTTATTTCTCATAATTGACACTGCTCTTTAGCCATGAAACTAAATCTAGCTTGCCAAACAATTAAGTGTATTGCTCTCTTACAAGAGCAGTCTAGAAGAATCACAACTAAAGAGGGTACTGTGCAGCCCTAAAGTAGCATCCTCTAGATGGTTTGATTTTACTCTTAACATCTATCAGTCTTCATTCTATTGGACCATGTTTACTGAAAATTGTCCAGTTGACATCAAGCTTTCAATCTAATTAAGAGATCTGAAAAACAACTTTCTTTTCTTCTATACAAAGAGAATAAATATGACTTTATGCCAAAATGAATTGAAAGCAGCATTAATAAGGTGCATTTCCTGTAAATTATAGTTTTTAAATGTAGTATGGGGGGGGCCTCAAAAGACAGTACAGGAGTTAAGCCATCTACCTTGCATGCATCCACCCCCAGTTGATCCCGAGCACCAGACGGTCCTCAGAGTTCTACTGGGAGTAACCCCTAAGCATAGAGCCAAGAGAAGCCTCCAAGCACTGGGAAATGTGGAACAATCTACTTCCCTCCACACAAAATGTAAAGGGCCAGAAATACAGCTTAACAAACTAAGCATTCATGTTTTAATTTTAATTAAATTTCATTTTCATTAAAATTTTAATTTAAAATTCAGAGCACTGACTATTATCCCTGGCACTACATCTCCTGAGTACCACCAGGAGAATCCCTGAGCTGGGCCAGAATAGACCTCGAAGTATTGCTGGGTGGCCTCCAAACCAAGAATAAAAACCAAAATGTGTAGTGAGATGAAGTAACGCTGAGCACATAGCATTACATGCTGTCATAGCCCAAGAATACTGTGCTTGGGAATATGCTATGTTGTTGTGCTGAAAAAATGTTGAAAAGCTCTACATTCAACCACACAGAGCAAACCTGTAACTAGGAATTTCTAGTAAGTCTGGCTTCATCTTTCAAAATCAAAACTATTTAATAATCATACGGAGAACTTGCATCCTCCCCTATTTCCTTGTGCTCATGCACATAATACATAAACATATTGACATCTAAGATACCCAAACTGAGGAAAGCTCAGGACATGTCAAGTAGTGAGGTTGAGGTCTCTTTGTACTATCAGCCACTTTTTATAATCTTTGCTTCCTCAAAACAAGCAGTAAGTTAGGAATAGATATTTTAGCAGAAATGGGGATATTTTAAAATTCTGAAAACCATTCCCTTACAGAATTAAAATCCTATAGTTCATTAAATGACTAATATAAAACTATTGATATCTGTACTAATTAATGTGTCATAATATCTGTTCTGTGTCAATATCTGTTCTAATGTGTCATAATTTACATTATTCAAAATTAAATATATTTCCCTTCAAGTGGGCACCAGTAACGTCTCCATTGTGATTCTTGTTGTTATTGTTTTTGGCATAGCGAATATGCCATAGGCAACTTACCAAGCTCTCCAACAGGGACGGAGGAATCAAGGAATCGAACCCGGGTTGTCCCCAGTTAAATCCAGTTTCTGGATTTAAATTTACTAGCCCTTATTCCATTTTGCATAAAATTACAGGAATGTTTATAAAAAATTTTAAACTATATGAAAACATTTAAAAAAATTTTATGTTATAGAGGGTCAGATCCAGCAAGACAAGTTTATATGGCATTATTATTTTCTCACTTAATTACCTTTATTTCTTTAGAGAGCACACTCTCTTCTTCTTCGTGAATATAAAATTTCACAGTATTCTTCTGGACATCTTTCATGATTTTAACCAAACTGTTAAATACTTCAGGTTCTAACTGACTTATAAAATTTGAAAAAGCTGGTTGGGAAGAAATGTTTACATCACTGGGTGATTTTACTGTTTCTTTTTCTGTAGGTTCCCGGACAATATCACCAGGTACAGTGTGGTCAGAAGTCACCATTAGCTCTGTGGCATGGTGTGACAGGTTCATATCTATTTCGGTCAAACCAAAAGTTGAACAGGAATGCTGGTCACTTGAGTTGGTGTCTTTGAAAGTTTCACTATAATGTGGATCGATGAACTGTTTATTGTTGAAGTTGTTTGAAGATACTGGTAGGACATGCCTTCCAAAAGTATTCTGTGTTATCTTAGTACCAGAATCTTTAGGACTGACTGGTGGCAAATTCCCACCCTTGGCTGATTCTTCAATAATAATAGAATTTAGTTTCTCATGCAAGCCATCTACAAACTCCTGCACACCAGCTTTGGAAGTCTTGGAATATATGAATTCTGAAAGTGGTCTCATCTTCTGTGGTGAAAAGACAGGTGGGGAAATTCTACTGACATAAGAAACATTCTTTTGTTTCAAAATCTCTTCTATCTTCCTAGAAAAGTTATCATACTCTCCTAACACAGTCCTCTCTGTGGTTTCACTCACTGCAGGAGACTCTGCTGCTGGCACACACTGTTCCTCCACTGTCTTCACCTGACCTGTTGACATGTCTTCCTCAGTGGTACCTTTCAGTGTGTCTGTAAATGGAGAGGATGGGAACTGGTAATCAGAATTTCTTTGTCTACTTATTACACGGGGGTCGTTAGGAAAGGTCTCCTGTGGTGGCAGACACACCAGTTGCTCTTCTGGTGATTTCATACCTATATATAGGAAGAGTCCATTATTGAAAGAGCAATACGAAAATGCATTATCTGAAAACAAAAACTCATAAAGTATCAAGTATACTATAGTTAGAATTGTGCAGTGGATGGTAGGATAGCAACTCAAATACTATTATGAACTCTATTTCTTATTTGCCCTACTTATGGATGATATTTGGATTTCAGCCACTTAAAATAAGAGCTTTGAAAGTTATTTCTTTGACTTTCTTTTGAAAGTGCCCAGGTAGCATAATAAATTAAATCATCTATTTCTGCTTCTTCTTTTTTGCTGTAGGTTTGACTTTAATATACATGTAAACTGAATGGTGAGTTGCAGCAGTTTCTTCAACTCATATATTCTTTTCCAAGTGTTAAAAATATGGCAACAGTCTCTTAATATGAAAAATTCTGAATGTAAGGCAATTTAAAAAAAAGTCACACTGAAATACTATGGGAATAATTGCCAAGAGATACATTAGGGATCCAGAAGAACTAATATCATCTGGTTTTAAAATTTCATGTAATAACATGCTTAGTGGATTTCTCTACATTAGGGACTTCAATTTGTCAGGGAAAATAAGGTTCAAAAAAAAAAAGGATTCAAGCTGCAATAGCAACTTTTGGTAGTGTTCTCAAAATTGTATTTGTTTTGTTTAGAAATAACTACAAAAGAAATCATGATCACTATTAACCCACTTGAGATGAAAAGGTTGTTTCAGGTAGCTGTTATGAATGAAACTGTGCCAATGACTCTTAACAACCAAATCAATCCATAAGATGTTTTCTCCCCTTCAAAAATCCTAAATTCACATACAATGTTTTTGAAATTACAATTACAATTCATAAAAGATGCTCTAAAGTCACTTTTTTTTAAAAAAAAAAAAAAGGAGACTATGTTCCTGGAGTGAGTAGATGTGATTGGGCTACACTAGCATGTGACAGGAATGAATGGAGAGATTACTGGTGCCCGCTCCAGCATGATGAGCAACGGGATGACAAGTGATAAAAGTGATGTTTAACAGCTATTCATACTAGAAAAGAAATGAATCAAGTCACTAATTTTTCTTAACTATTATTTTCTTAGCTATTATTCTTTAAACCAACTGCTACTTCAAGTACACTAAACGGTATCTCTAAATCAGAAGTCCTAGTTTTTCTAAACTATGACACTTTAAAGATGGAGTGATGTAGTGTGCTCGAATGAGAGAGCACATGCTCTATGTTTAATCCCCATTAATATATCACCACCTTAGTTTTACTGGGTATAACCCTGGAGCACTGCCTGGCCCAAGCAACAATAGGAACAGAACCCCCTCCCCCCCAAGACATATTGAATAATCATTTAATGAAAATAATAAATAATAATGAATAGTCATCTATTCAAATTTGTATATAATGGATAGAGCAGAATTTCCTTTTGACACCAAATTAAGTTTTGATTTATGCCCCTAACCTCTCACACACATTTCAAAAAATATTTAAACTACTGCAATAGGAGTTAGAACTTGTGACATTTCCCTATCACCCTGCTGGTAACCATGAACCACTGCCCTCATTAACTACTGCAAAGGCACTTATCAGCAGAGAAAGAAGACCACAACAGATCTGAAGATGGCAGAATACAAAATGTCCAATGTTAAGGGCTAGAGAGGCAGTACAATGGGTAGGATGCTTGCCTTGAAGACAGAAATGATCCAAAATACCCAGCCCCTTTCCTCAAATTCCAATGTACCAAGCTAAGAATTAAAACTCTGCATGAAATAAAACCAGCAATAGTACAGAAGGTAGGTAGTTTGTCTCGCATATGACTCACCTGGGGTTTAATACCCAGTATCTCAGATGGTCCCTGATAGGGAGTCCACCCGGAATAATCCCTAAGCTCAGAACCAGGAGTAAACTCTCCTAAGTAATACTGGGTGTGGCCCCCCAAAATAAACAAACAAAAAAATTAATATAACCAGAAAACTTAATGCACATGAAATAAAACCAGAAAATTTAAATCCCATGTGTTGACTCAAAATGTCCTTAAATTTACAATAAAGGGCTTACTACATATTTTAAAAAGGTCTGGAAATGTTCCTAAGAAATTCATAATAGAAGTCGATTCACTGAGAAGGAAAAAACCAAGTTTATGGACTTGAGCGTAAGATTTGCTTTTTCAAGGAGTTTTGCACTTCTGTCCTCCCCAGTTGTGTGCAGGAGGCCTGAGGGCTCCTCCTGGTGAATTCTTAGTCAATTGGGCCAATGGGTCAGCACTGAGGATGCAGTGTACTTGGAACCCTCAAGTGCTGCATCCTAAGGTGCTTGGGGTACCATGGGGTGCCAGGGATAGAACCAGAATCAGCTGCATGCAAGGAATGTGCCTAATCTCTATACTATCTCTCCAGTCCTTATAAAAAGGGAACTTCTATAAGCTGAAATATAATTTAAACTGATGTGGAAATTTTCCATATTTAAAATATAAATAATCATCACCTAATAATGCTCAAAAGTTTACTGTTTAATTTTATTAAGAAGAACAACTTTATCATTTGATTTTATTTTGGAACTATACATGGCAGTGCTTGAGGACAACTTCTCCCTTCACTCCCCAGCAGTGTTCAGGGGATGAACCCTGTGGTGCTAGGGACTGAACCAATATGCCCTCATGCAAAGTATGTGCTACAGTCTTTTGAGCAATCTCTCTTAGCCCCAACTTTATTATTATTATTATCATCATCACTTATTTATTTTTTTTGCTTTTTGGGTCACACCCAGCGATGCACAGGGGTTACTCCTGGCTCTGCACTCAGGAGTTACTCCTGGCGGTGCTCAGGGAACCATATGGGATGCTGGAAATCTAACTCGGGTTGGATGCCTGCAAAGCAAATGCCCTACTCACTGTGCTATCTCTCCAGCCCCCCAACTTTATTATTTAAAAATGTTTTCATTAGGGCTGTAGTGATTGTATAGTTGGTAGGGTGACCCGGGTTTGATTCCCAGAACACTTTATGGTCCCAAGTCCATCAGAAGTGATCCCTGCGCTTAGAGCCAGGAGTAAGCCCTGAGCACCACTGGGTGTGGTCCAAAAAACAAATGTTTCTATCAATGAGTAATTTAACGCACACACGACAATACCCATCATAATACCTATTTTCTAATGACCACCATTAAAGCTTAATATTCACTTTTTAGTGGTGAATAAAGTATTTTCAAAAATAAAATCCTAATCATTTTAGTGACAAACTACATAGGTAGTATTTGAAATTAAGAGAACTTCAAATACTTGGAAGCATAAACAAAACCTCTTCTGTTATTACTCAGAATTACTGATAGATGCGTGTGCCTGTGCACAGTCTCTCTCTCTCTCTCTCTCTCTCTCTCTCTCTCTCTCTCTCAAACCAAAAAACCAAACCCCGATAAACTTCAGACAAAATGTTCAACGACAGCTGGATACACTGTATTCGGAGGGCATAACTGGCCTCCAGAAGCATAACTTTCTGGTATACCTCCTGGCCAAGCACTGCCAGAAGTGGCCTCGGGAGCCTGAGCACTTCTGGGAAGGCCTTAAGAAAGTAAAATTAAAAAAAAAATAATTGTCTTAAGCAGTCATTGCAGCTAGCTAATCAGTAATATCTGTAAATATTTCTAGAATCCAAAATCCTAATCTTCTATTTCAAATATGCAGAAATTAACATTAGCTTTAGAAGACATGGGTCAAAAATATTCAAGGTGAGAAAGATAAATTCCGTTACTCCATATACTTTAAATGAAAAAACAAATACAGTTGAGGACTGTTTCTCTGGATATTATGCATAAGCAGATTAATAAAATATTCTTTCCAAGTCTTTCCAAGTCATCATGCCATATAAAATCTGCTCTAGGTAAAGAAAACTAATTTTTAGGAATATTTAAGGCTCTCTGAAGACATTCTTTGCCAAGAATATCTGATACAAGCCAATTAATAAATGAAATACAAATGTTATCATCCTAGTTTTCTTTAATTAATAGAACTTTAAGGGAATGCCTTATTGATGGAGTACCAGAAATGCAAGTATCGATTCAGAAGGCATACTGGGAGGAAAAGCAAAAGCAAGCCTTCTCACCTGATGTTTGCTTTTCACCATATTTTCCCTGATGGTCTTCTGGACTTCTTGTATTCCCTCCTAAGGGAAAGCATTCATAGATTTGTAGAATATTTTCAGGTAGCAATGATACCTACTAAACTTTTACAATGCTAACAAATTCAAGCAATTCTTTTTTTAGCCTAAAATTAAAAATTATTCTAAAGTAAGTAGGTTCCCTTTCCATTGACCCAGAAGTGCTTTCAAATGGCTCTGAATATATACTAGGAAGTATATATGCCTCTCTAGAGCAGGCATGATTAGAATAATCATTTTGTACCAACTATTTCCTTATTTTAAATATTTCCTTTCTAAGTCGAAGTCTCTAGCACATAATCTAAAATCAGGTGTCTACCATCACTTCCTCTTGCCCTCCCTACTAAGATACTAAGTAAAGAATGGCGTTAAAACTCATGGAAGGGATCAGAGCGATAGCGGATAGGGTGTTTGCTTGCACGCAGCTGAGCCGGATTCGATCCCCGGCATCCCATATGGTCCCCCAAGCACTGCCAGGAGTAATTCCTGAGTGCAGAACCAGGAGTAACCCCTGAGCATCACTGCGTGTGACCCAAAAGGCAAAAAAAAAAAAATCCTCATGGAAACCCATCATGTTTTCAAAATTCCCCTCAGTGTCACTGAAGAATTGGTAATTTTAGTTTATAACCCGGTTTCCTTTATTGGCAAAGAGCTGTTTGTTCAAGGGCCAGGGAGATAGCTCAAAGAGCTGAAGCACATATCTCATATGTATGAGACTCCAAGTTCTATCCCCAACACCATCTGGTCCCCTTAGCACTACTGAAGGGGTGCTATAATCACTAAGCTCTCACACTGCAGGAAACCAATCCTGGGTAAAATCAAGCAATGTGTGCTCCAATACACTTCTTACCTGTAATTGGAATAAGTTTCCAGTGTATTTCAGTCTCTTCGACATTATTTGACTTAGATTGTTTATGGGCTCTATGGTCAATGGATACAGTTGGACATACACTGCAATCTTCAAAATTATTCACATTAATTGAACTTGGATCCTAAAAATTAAGAGTACATATTCAAGTTTTCTTTCCAATAAATTTTAATGTCAAGAATAATTATTTTCCCAAAGCAAATTCACAGACTCTGATCTAAACATTATAAATGAGTAAAACTAACAAGGCAGCTTAAAATACTCAAGCATCAGTTAAAAATAATACTTCTGATAAAAATATTTGTGCAAAAAAAAATGATACTTCTGGACTTGGGATGTAGCTCAACAGTAGAGAACCTGCCTTGTATGTGTAAGAGCTTGGGTTCAATTCCTCAGTTCTAGAAAAAAGGTTTTGAGCCAGCAAGATAGTTCAACAAACTGGAGTGCATGCTTTGCATGCAGAAGTCCTTGGTTCAACAGATGAGACCAAATTGCCCCACCAAAAAACACTGGGCTGGTTTAACGGAAAAGCAAGAAAAAGAATAATTTTTTTTCCCTGAAAAAATAATTTGAATGTTATTTAGAGCAGAGGTAGATAGACTGGGCAAAGCACCAAATATTTTAGACTTTATACCACATGAACTATTCAAGCACTGAGTACTACTAGGTATGCCCCCCCCCCCCCCAAATTCAAAAACAGCAGAACAAGATCAGTATTATATCATTATAAACTGAATGCCCCTGTCAGACTAAAATCACCACAAGAATTCTAAAGAGCATTCATCTTCCATTCCTATTTGCATGAGAAATATAAAGCATCTAACTTTTAAAATTAGGAGTTCTATATAAATACACAGAATTTAACAGCTTCATCTGATTCACCTTTGGGTTCTTTGGTGCCATAATAAAGCCAACACTGGAAACAGATAATTCAACAGTATGAGGGCAGAGTTTGCATGCAAGAGACCTGGGTTCAATATATGGAACTACGTGCTCCCTTGGGCACCACCAAAAAGAAACCCCAAACACTAAACCAGGAATAATCCCAAAACATCACTGGGCATGACTCAAAATCATAAGAGGTCAATATTTTGATGATTCAAATTTGTTATGAAATTGACATGGGATTAACCCCCCAAAGCAATTTTTGATAACAGATAAATACTGAATTATATACAAAATTCTATATAGCAAAAAAGAAAACAATTTTTATGCACTTCTTTCTACATTATTATCCTGGAAAGACACTTCTTTCATGTCTCCCTTCTTTTTGAAAGAAGGAAAATACTAATGCACATCCATATTCACAAAAGCATTTCACACATTCACAGAAGCGAACAATAATTAAGATCTACACTTACTTTATTCAAGTGTAGTGTAGAGTCACCTCCTACTTCACTGGTACAAACAGTAACAGGATACTTTAAAGATGATGTATCAACTTCTAGCAAGGGACTCTGAGTACCCTTAAAATGTACATTTTCAGTTTTCCCACAAGCAAGTGGGTCATAATCCTTCTTATCTGGAGTAGAGTTCAATTCATACTCATGTTTTTGTCTCAATTCTTCATAAGAATCATCAGTGCTCAATCCTAAAGCTTTGTTGACTGTGTCTGTCAGGGTGGCATCAGAATGGCGTGCATTTGCAAGTGTTTCGGACAGCCAATTAAACAGTTTATGGATATCAGCAATGCCCGAGTTAGAGGAATCTTCCTGTTGCTGTCTCAAGTCACTCTCATGCTCAAGTAAGCCAAGAGGCTGAGGGGATTCTGCAAAGAAGAGAAAAAGGAAAACTGTATTTTAAGGTCTGAATGCTAGCATAAAAATAATATTCAAATAAGACTAAAATTATTCACAAGATATTTACAGCCAGGAATTCAAAGATTTTACAAGCTCACCCATCCGATATATATATATATCGAACTCGGGTCGGCCATGTTGGCTGCGTGCAAGGCAAACGCCCTACCGCTGGAGCAATAGCACAGCGGTAGGGTGTTCGCCTTTCAAGCGGGCAACATGGCCAACATGGCCGACCCGAGTTCGATTCCTCCGCCCCTCTCGGAGAGCCTGGCAAGCTACCCATGTCATATTTGATATGCCAAACACAGTAACAACAAGTCTCATGATGGAGATGTTACTGGGCCTGCTCGAGCAAATTGATGAACAACGGGAGGATTGTGATATATATATATACTTTGATTTTACTAAGATTTTACAAGCTCACCCATCCATTTATATAAACTTTGCACCGACACCAAAATTCCCTTTACACAAAATTTATTTTCATAATTTGAAAATTCTATTAATGGAATAATGACTTCCAACATATCGGTAGTATGAACAAAATATATTAACAGTCATATGATAATTACCTTAAACTGTACCACCAAAATTCTAAACAATGAACAGATAAAATATATGTACTAGTTATTGTACAAAATACAAGGAAAGCAAGATACAATTAAACCTAAAAACAAAGAAAGAGAAAGGGGCTGGAGCGATAGTAAAGCAGGTAGGGCTTTTGCCTTGCATGCGGCCAACCCAGGTTCGATCCCCCACATCCCACATGGTCCCCCAAGCACCACCAGGAATAATTCCTGAGTGCAGAGCCAGGAGTAACCCCTGTGCATCGCCAGGCGTGATCCAAAAAGCCCCCCCCCCAAAAAAAAAGAGAGAGGGAAAAAGAAGAAAAGAGGGAGGAAGAAAGAAATGAAGGAAGGGGAGAAGGGAGGGAGAAAGGGAGGGGGGAAAGGAAGGGAAGGAAAGGGAAAGACTTTGATTTCTATCCTATCTCTTACATTTTGTTAAAGCTCTGGTGAAATTCTGAAATTTCACCAGCTTTATCTTTGTGACTAGATTACTTTAATTCATAGCAAAGCTAAGACATTAGAGACATAAAATCATCCTAAAGAACTATACACTAAACTTTAAGAACAAAATGCACTATGAGAAAAAATACGTTAAAACATGGCCACAAGCTAGGCGAACCTGGGTAATTTGCACACCCCATATCAGAAAAATCTGGCAAAAAAGTAAATCATCAGAGATTCATGTACTTTAATTTTAAGGGAAAGAAAGAGGTAGTAAAGCCTGGGCAGATGTAAACATTTTTAAGTAGGACAAATTGCACCATGAAAGGAGGGGAAAAAAAAATCAAAGCAACAGAGACCATACAACATGATTTTAGTCATATGAAATATGAAGCAGGAAAAACTAATCTATTGACAAAAGGCAGATCATTAGTGGGGTGTGTGAAATTAACTACAGAGGAGCACAAGGCAACTTTTGAGTAATAAAATACTCTTATTCTTTTTGTCAGTTTTTGGCAAATCCTCTCCCCACTGTCTCTCTGACCCAAAATTCTATATATTGTAGTTTCTCTTGTTACCAAAACTCATCAACATGGTGTAGCATACACTACTACTGAACTACAGTTGTGCATCTAAAAATTACAGTGTTACCTCAATGAAAAGCAAATAAATATCTGTGAATAAACTTAGGGCCTCCTACATACAAGATATGTGTGCTGCGCCATATCCTTGACCTTGGCGAAGTTTAACCTTTCCATGCCGTTTACCTTGCCCCAATTTCTCCTCTGGTTTATTATAATATTGGTTTTCCCATCACTTAAATGTTGATAAGTCTCATTTTCACTAAAAACTATATCCAAAATCAATTTTCCGCTAAAACTGATACAAAAAATAAGTGCTTTGTCCTCTATGTGCACAGAGCTAGGAAACATAGTAGTCTTAGAACTATAAAAATTGTTGGGAGTCAGAATTGAGTTTAATGATTATTAAACAAACTTCATATAACTTATCTGAAGTGGTTTTCTCCTTTGTAACTAAGGATGACATACGTTTAGTGCTGGTTTTACACTCAGTAGCTTGATGTCTACAAATAAATACATATGTAGACATAGATCAATAGTTTCAGACTATAATACTATAATTAAAAATTCCTGCAAAAGCCAATATATTAGTGAGGTTGTCAAAATAAATGCACAAAGTGAAATTTTAAATTTCATCTTTCACAAATAACAACTTGCTGAATAATACAGAAGGAAGAAGTGAAAAGTGACTAAGGATGGTCAGAGATGTGACTCAGTGATAGAGGACACACTTTGTATGAGTAAGGCCCTGGGTTCAATCCCTGGCACTACAAAAAGGAGGAAAAAAAACATGACTGAGGACACAAACATACATTACTAATGGAAGTGTAATAAGGACACTGATCAGCCTACTATGGTATAAATTCTATGACACACTGTACTTAAAAACACAGAAGAAAAAAAAATTTTACTAAGTAAAATTGCTTAGTAAGAAACACGAATGGAAAACTTACATCTACTATAAATAAAAATAGTAGCACAAAATCTAGATTGTTGTAGATTCCTGAATGCAAAAGAATACAATTTATGCTATGAAACAGCATTATAAATACTAGATAAAATGTTTTAAATTACCTGAAAACCTAAGGATCTCTCTCTTCTACTGTTCAACTAAAATAAAACCAAACACAAAGAAAAAATATTTTTTCTTTCCAAAAGGGGTAAAAAGGGACCAGAGATAGCATGACCTCTGGCACTGCACACTCCTGAGCCAACCAGGAGTGACCCTGAGAACAGAGCCAAATGTGGCCCAAAATCAAAAACAAACAGCAAATATTACTGAACTCCTAAAATAGTGTATGTGTGGGAGAAGTATAGTACAATGTGCATCTAAGAAACTTTAAAGTTCAAGGGATAGGAATATAGGACAAAGGGCTCAGGCACATGCTTTACATGACGGTTCGGATTTGATACTAGAACCACATGGTCCCCTGAACACTACCAGAAACATATCCCAGACAATGCCTAAGTCCGTCTGGCTATGGCCCAAAAACCAAAAAAGGGATTTCACTGTTCAGAAGTTCCTTTCAATAAGCGCACTCTTGCACAAAGCCAATATCATATTTTGCATTTTCTAATTATAAACCAAAGAAATATAAGAGTTCTGATTACTAAACTGAGTATACATACTTTACTCTCATACTGGTCTAAGGTACATAATTTCAAAACATTATATTTACACATTGCCTATGCTGGCAAACATTTTCTGAAAAGAATCAAATACTTTTACAGTTTTCTGGATCATATAATCTGTTCCAACTCTGTACTTAAAGCACAAAGAGAAAAAGCTATCACTGTAGTCCAGAAAAATTTACTTTACAAAATCAGGGTACAGGATTGATTCATTTGGAGGCTACAAATTTTAGACCCTTGTACTAGGAAAAGGAGAGAACTAATTTGCTCTATTTTTCTTATTTTAATACTATACATGAGCAGATTACTATTTTACCTTCATACAGACGGCAGTTCTCAGATAAATTACTGGTTTTGGCGAGTTTTCTCATGTTCTCTGGTAGATCTTCAAGCTTCCTCTTCAAGACAGTTTTGCTTCTAGTATCTTCTGTATCTGAGTCTCCACCCACATTTTTTTTCCTACACTGAATCAAATTAATCAATTCTTTGACTCTATCCTTATCATAATCTAAAGAATGAGATGACTTCTGTTTTCCAGGTATAATAGTTTTACCCCTTGAGTTGTTTCGTTTTCCAAATTTCATTTTTGAACCATTAATTTCTTCTTCGTGGCCTTCATAATCTGAAAGTGGACTGAACTCTTGAAGTTTCCTATTTTCTTCAAATAGTTCCTTTAATTTACATGTAGCTAACTGATACATTTCAGGTCGAAAAATATAGGTGTGCAAACAATTATCTAAATGGGATTTATTTTTTGGAGCTGAATGTAAGAATTTTTTATCATCTAAACGTGAATCATATGGAAACATAATGAATTCTCGTTTACCTGAGCCAAAACCTCGCTTAAAAAATTCACTTACATACTTTTCAACAACAGAATGAAAATTTATGGTATTTATAGTTTTAAATTCCTTTCGACACTGAATCAAAGCAAACTGTAAAAACTGTGTAATTTTTAATATATCTTGCATGTTCTCGTGTCTTTCCTGTGGTGGTGCACTGGTTGAACCTTTTGGTGCTATAAACAAAAAAGTAAAACATATTAGCAACTAAGACACAAATACAGTTTACTTATTATTATACACTGCTATACAGTAATGGTGAGCCACATAAGTTGTATCCTAATACAACCTTGTAAAATAAAAATATATGACGAGGATTCTTATAAACATAAAGCCTAGAAGGACAGTACAACAGGTAAGATGCTAGCCTTGCACAAAACTGACCCAGAAAGTACTCTATCAGTTGTACTATCACTTCAAGTTCCCCCAAAACTTTTAAATTCATTTGAACTCTGTCTCATTACTGTGTGTGTGTGTGTATATATATATATATATATATATATATGTATGTATGTATGTAGGCGCTGAGTGGCAACAATTGAGAATATTTTTTGGGGTGTGGAGAGTGGAGAGTGGTAGCAGGTACTGAAGAATTGAAGGTAAGGTTGTATAGATTCAAAGCATGTACACAAACACTGAGCTACATCCCTGATTCTGAGTCTTTTGTTATTAATTTAATAATGAAACCCATAATGGAAACATTACCTTGATGTAAAGTTATTTCTTAGAATGATCAATAGCACATTTCCTAATTTGGAAATGTATTATTTCTCAGTTTGGAAATATCTTATTATTAACAGCCTGACATTGAACACAGTTAACCTATTATAAAGCACATGCATTTATAATTCCTAAAATTTGATATGCAAAATTTAGAATGTAAGAGCCAGAGCAATAGTACAAAGGGTAGGGTTCTTGCCTTGCACGTGGCCAACCCGGATTCGATCCCCAGCATCCCATATGGTCCTCCGAGCCTGCCAGGAGTAATTCCTGAGCGCAGAGCCAGGAGTATCCCCTGAGCACCACCAGGTGTAGCCCCAAAACAAAACAAACAAAAACAAAAAAAAAAAAAAGAAAGAAAAAAAAAGAATGTAAAAATAATGTAAATTATTTTATAACCATATGAAACTCTGAAAAACTGGATCAGAGAGATAGCTCAGGGGGTTAAGTTGCTGTCCTTATATGTGATTGATCCCCAGTTTGATCCCCAGCACCGCATATGATCCCCAGAACACCACCAGAGGTCATTTCTGAGAATAGGGCCAGGAGTAACTTCTGAACACCACCAGGTATGGACCAAAACCAAAACAAACACAACTAAAATACCCCTGAAAAACCAAAGTACATCAACTTTAATAACTTTTTTTAGTGAAAGTACTGTAAAACCAAAAGAACTTTTCATAGTTAAAAAAAATAATAATCATGGCAAGAAGAAGGCGGAGAAATACAACATTGAGTAAGTCCTACGTGCCTTGCATGCAGAGTATCCAAGTTAGATCCCTGGCACGACAAATGTTGCTCTCCTCTGAGCATCACCAGGAATGATCCCTGGGCACAGAGCCAAGAGTCCACCCTGACCACAGTGGGGTACGGCCGCCCAAGCCAAAAAACATTTAAAAAGTCAATGGGGACCAAAGAATTAATATGGAGTTAAGGTGTATATGACCAGCCCCAGCTTGCTTCTTATACCATATGGTCCACCAGCAGAGATCAAGAAGTAGACACCAAGCACCATATGGTATGTCCCAAACCCTCTCCACATCCCCCTCTCCGAAATGTTTTAAATATTAAAAATCATGCAGGTTGGAGAGACAGTACAGGTGTTAAACTGCATGCCTTATATGCACATGGCTCCAATTTGAAACCTAGTACCACATGGTCCCATAAGCATTACAAGGCCTGAGGGTGGTCAGTGGTGGCATGGGTGATCCCTGATACCCTAAGACCTGAGAAACACCGATCCTCAGGTACTCACTCTGAACTGGCAGTCAGGTAAGGGCCCAGAGGCAAATCTAAACAATTCTTGGAAGACTTTCCCCAAAATAAATCATGTAAATTACATTTCATTTTGCTCAACACAGCTAGTTATTTCTCAAGATATGATGTAAAAAAGATAAAAATGTTTACTGTTAGAAAATTTTAATGATACAGGTACCTAAAAGTATCCAAAGAACTTACAAGTAATTATGCTTCTGGGTTCTTGAAACAGAAACAAAGCATGCAGTGCTCGAGACTTGACAGTTTGATGATCTTAAAAAAAAAAAAAAACAGAAGCCAAATTCATGAGTAAGGTTTAACTAAGAACTTGAAGAAAATTTTTGATTAGAAAGGTATTACCTACCATATGGAGATACCATCTGGCATGAAGAGAGAAGAAAGAGGTATCCTCGGTCTTCCAAAGGTTTAACAAGAACCTGCAATTTTGGAAGTTGAATATGCTTTATTATTTCTCACCATAAAGCAAAAATGCAGCATGTTCTACTAATTATAAGTAAAAACTGATTATATTTTCATGAAAAATATTGTTACTAGTTTAAAACTCTTTCAACTAACATTAATTAACAAGACTCCAATCAAACATAAATTACTTAATTTTCAAGTAAGGAATAGACTTGTTCCAACTATCTAGCCTGGTTCGCAAAGCATCGCTAGGAGTGGCTCCTAGATCCCCTGAGAACTGGCTGTGAGCCCTTTACACCCCTGCAAAAAAAGTTTTATTTGAAATTAGAAATATAGAAATATATGGGCTAATTTGTGAATCAAGAAACAGTGAAAATAGAACTTGTAAGCTGAAGATACCTATGATAAATTATTCAGAATGTAACAGAAAGAAACAAGTAAATGAAAAATAAAAGAGAATGTCAGAGAACATAATAAAAATGTCTGTCATGAGACTTCAAAGATAATGAGAACAGATTGCCTCAGCATCAAATGTTCCTGCCTTGCAAGCGTGAAGCTGGAAGTGAGAATCTTGTGTGCAACCAACATGCATCAGTTATGGTCCTTATGGCTCATCTGATTGTGATTCCCCAGAACACAGCATAATGTAGAATCATCAGAGCACCTTGGCTAAGTGTGTTCAGACACTGCAACTGACATTTTGCAGGCTCTGTAGCCAGGAGTGTGAATCCTAGCAAGCACATGAATGAGCACTACAACTATAATGTTGCCACTCCCAGCAAGTACCAAATCTAAATATGCAAAGTACCTCAACTAAGCATGAATGTGACTCAGAGTGTCAAAACTACAAAGGACAGGGAAGGGGAAAAAAGGAGAGAGAGAGAAGAAATCAGAAGTATAATTAGAGATGAGTAACAACACTCCTGGTTCTCAAATCAGGGCTTATGCCTGGCTCCCAGATCACTCCAGGTGGGCTTGGGAACCTATGTGATACCAGAGATCAAATCCGGTTTGGCTGCGTACAGGCAAGTGCCCTACCCACTATACTATTGCTCTGGCCCTTGAATCCACAAATATGAAAGGAGAATATATATCAAGGTGGATAAATAGAAATATATCAAAATCTTCATAAAAACAGAAGTCACACAACATTGAAATTGCTAAAACAGCTGGCAAACCAGAACTCTATACTCAGAATCCAATAAATAATATACATTTTCCCTTGAAGGTACACATACAAAATATTGACCAAAACCCAGAATTTAAATCACGAATCACGACCATCCTGTTATTCGTCAATTGCCTCAAGCAGGCCCCAGTAACGTCTCCTTCATCCTAGCCCTGAGATTTTTAAGAAAGTGCTATATTCAAGGCTCTTTAGGAGAATGAGACCCATTATTGTTACCGGTATTTGGCATATTGGGTACGCCACAGGGAGTTTGCCAGACTCTGCCGTGTGGGCAGGTTACATTCGGTAGCCTGCCAGTTTAAATCAACTCTCAACAAATTTAAAAACCTGTAGGATAACATTGGGTTTGTCCTTTCAGCATTGCCTCAGGGAACTTAGTTTACCTTAAAGCAATGTCTTTTCTGTATGGACACGGAAAGACAGTTAACATTATGGTTTTGTAACTTGGGAGTTGATTGACTCCAATAATATTTATTCCTGGGCATCTGCTTTCTTGACTCAGTTGCCCTTAGTTCCCAGCACCCCAAAAGCAGAGTCCCGACGAGGGACTGAATGGACCCAGGGCAAGTTGTGAGCTACCTTGGCATTGAAATGGGTCAGGCCAAAGTGCCACAATACTCAACGATAAATTGAGAGCATGGTCATAGACAAACGCTGTCATGATCTAAAAGTTACGACAAAATTAGGACCCTGCTGGGATTAGGAAGACTAACCTGGCCTGAGGACTGCAGTCTGGAATATATAGTGAGATATCCTCAGGAAGAACAAAACCTTAAGTTTATATCTCTTACTGTGCTCATACAGAATGATACTGCTAGAAATATTAGAAGTAGACTTACTACAACTATTTAAGTGGATTACTAGCTGAGGAAAGAAGAAAGCAACACACCCTCCTTGGGATCCCACCCTTGAGTGGATCTCCTAGTAATCTGGAGTAATCTCTTTAGATGAGGTTTTCTCCTTGAGTTAATTTCCTGGAGCAGTGGTCTTACCTTTCTTTATTGATTTGTTAATGTTCAACCCACCTTTGTATCCCCAACCTACATGATTTCTATATAAACTAGGCTGGAGGGAGGGAGAGAGGAAGAGAGGGAAGAGAGAGAGAGGAGAAAGAAAGGAGAGAGAGGAGAGGGGGAGAGAGGGGAGAGAAGGAAGAAAAGCAAGAGAGGGGAGAGGGGAAAGGGGAGAGAAGGAATCAGAGGAGAATGGAGAGGAGACTGGAATAAACTGCAACTGTCACCAACCAGCCTGGCCACCATTTCCTTTCTTCACCTGCCCATCGCCATCACCCTCCCCAGGGTGGGGGAAGTGGCCCGAGACTACCAAATGTGGTGGGCAGTGGGGAGAGATAGAGCGCCACTGCCCTTTAGAAAATACACAACTACCTGTTCTGAAAAAGATTTCTTTACACAGGAATACAGCTTTAGAAATAAATAAACGTAATTTCAAAGCTAGAGAGTATAGCAGGTAGGGTGCTTGCCTTGCATGCAGTTGACCCAGGTTTGATCCCCAGCACCACATATAGCATCCCAAGCACCCTGAGCAATGGTACAGGTGTGGTCCCAAAACAAAAACAAACAACAAAAAAAGAAATTTCACACTGGACTGGAGAGAAAGTACAGGGTGAAGGTACTTGCCTGGCAGGCACATGACCCCAGTACAATTCCTGGCACCATATGGTGAACCGAGCAATGCCAGGAGATCTCTGAGCACTACTGGATATGTAGTGCTCTGGCCCAGTCCCTCCTTCTCCCCAACAAAACATTCACAGAGTTGGAAATTAAAAACCATACCTTACCACTATGGCCTAGAGAGATAGTACAGAGTGTTAAGGTGCAAGTCTTCATGAGGCAGATCAGTCAGCAGCCCATGGGTCCCTGAGCATTAGCAGTGCGGCCCTGGAGGTTCCTGAACACTGCCCAAGTGGCCTGGGTAATCTCTCGCAGCACAGGGACCAACCAGTACTGTGTCCTTGGGACTTGGCATTGAATTGCTGCCAAACTGTCAGAGAAATTTAGAATTGTTGGGAGGGGCCCCCCAGGGTCCCCAAGCACTGCTTAGGAAGGCTCCCCCCCAAAACATAACTACTTCTATATTATGTGTCAAAGTAGCAATCATAATGGATACTAAAAATACTTGAATTGATAATAAAAGTGAAAAATATTTCCTGATGAATATAAATGCAAAGATCCTCAGCAAAATCTTAGCAAACCTACCTGAACAAGTACCATAGCCATGATTAGCATCATCAAAATTATAATTAACGTCATCAAAAATATGTATCCTTGACTGGAGACATAGGTCAGTGTTGAAGGTGCTTGCACTGCATGCAGCTGACCTAGGTACAATCCTCTTTACCACATATAGTCACCTGAGCAATGTCAGGGGTGATCCCTGAGCACAGACCCAGGCGTAAATCCTCAGCATTGCCAGGTCTGGCCCCAAAACCAAATCCAACAAAAACTGAACCCAAAGCACTATACATTCAACATAATACCCACCAAACTTTGAATGACACAACATTGCTAAAATGCAATACAGGGCTAGACTGTACAGTGGATAGAGCACATGTCTTGCATGCAGTCCAGGTATGATACTCAGCACCAGAAGTAAGCACTAAGGACCACCAGGTATAAGCCAACAACAAAAAAATGTGTAATAGTCAAAGCAATCCTGAGGGGAAAAATGATGGGAGACTTCTCTGATTTTAAATTGTACTAGAAAACTATGATAATCAAAACTATGTGATACTGGAGTAAAAAGCAGGCACAGAGTAATGGAACAGAACTGAAAGTTCTGTTCATTATAAAGATAAATCCTAGATCTATGGACACTTAATCTCAACAAAGGAGCTAGGTGCATACAAAGTGGATAAGCAAAGTTTCTTTCTTCAAATGGTGCTGGAAAACTGGTTAACCACATGCAAAAATATAAATCTAGATTCCTATCTCCTATTGCAAAAGTTAATTTTTAAATTAACCTTTTGAATTAAAAACTTGCTATCAAAGGTCAGAGAAATAGCACAAAGGTTAAGGAACATGCCTAACATGCAGCTGTTGATTCTGATCCTGGTTGAAATCCAGGAAGAGGGCCCTTGAACACAAAGTCAGGCATGGTTTCTGAGCACTGTAGGGTATTCACTTCCCTTACCTTTCTACCCCCAAAACTGGAGACCAAAGATAGTATAGTACATAGGACACTTTGCCTTGCATGTGGCTAATCTGAATTTGAACCCCAACACCACATATAGTCTACCAAGAACATCCAGGAGTGATGCCTGAGCACAGGGCCAAAGGTAAAAGCCTTGTGCACTGCCAGGCATGATAATAACCACTCCCCTCCAAAGCCCCCTCCCCTCCCCCCAAAAAAACCCTAAATCCCACACTTGATAATAGACCCAAATATATCAAGGAAAACATAGGCAAAACTCTCCAGAACACTGACTTCAGAGATACCTCCAAGGATTCAATGTTACTGGCCAATAAAAGCAGGAGCAAAAGCAAGGAAGTGTTCTACAGCAAACTGAAAAGTGACCACACTGGGGTCGGAGAGATAGTACAGAAGAAAGAGCACAGGCCAACCAAGGTTTGACCCCCAGATTCCAATATGGTCCCGTAAACTCTCCAGGAGTGATTCCTGAATGGAGGGCCAGGAGTAACCTTTGAGCACGTCTGGGGGTGTCCCCCAAATAAAAATAAGTAAGTAATAACACTGAGAAACAATGACTATAGTAAAAAAGATAATCTATTGAGAAGGAAAAAATACTTACTCACCACAAAACTGACAAAAAAGCTAATATCAAAGGTTTATAATGCACTTACAAAA